GAGGTTTTGACAACGGCACAAGTTTGTTTTTCATGCACTTTGCAGGTTTTAATTTAGAACATTATATACACGTTTCTATGATATTGTGAAGAAGAATTACAAGGATTTAATATGTTTCAAAATCTTTTAATGGCAAATAAATAAATTAGTTTTGGCCACAGCTGTAGAGAAGATCAGTGCTGAACTTTGTACATCTTCATTTATACATTTATGTCCTGAGACAGAACAGCTGACTCAAACTAGCTCATGGCACAGTTGTTAGCACAGCGACTCACTCACTTTAATTGTCTGAAATATGTAAATATATGTCTACACAGTGTGTTCAATAAAAATACATTTTAGTAACGTTTTAAATCAAACTAGTGGAGGTGGTGGCTGGAGAGACAGTTTACCAGTCTGGTTGGTTTCCAGTAGAAAATGATGGTTTGCACCGTGAAGCCATACTTGCACTTTTCACAGTTTCTTTTGTGTTGAATTTTGCATCTTCAGATTTAAACGAGCAGCAGTTTTCTCCCACACAAAGCTGAGGTGTCGGTCCAGTGTTTACATGTTTGTGCTGTTCATAAATACGCAGTTAATAACATAAGCAAAGACGCAGGATAAGAAAACTTTTGGTTTGTTTGTGGCAGGTGAACCAGGAGAATGTGGTGAAGGTGGGCCATCGACAGGTGGTCAACATGATCCGCCAGGGAGGCAACCGGCTCCTGATTAAGGTGGTGACAGTGAGCCGGAATCTGGACCCCGAGGACACAGCACGCAAAAAAGGTACAGCAGCTCCGAGATGAGGCTGAAAATGGCTGCCAGTCGTGTTTAGACATGAATTCGAGAATATAATCGTCATGAGGCGCTTCAGCTGAGGAGCAGCAGAGCACAATACATGTACCTCCTGTATTAAAATATTAAAGTGACACTGACTGATGATTTAGTTCACTATTATCTGTACAGCTAGAAGAAATCTCAGCGCACTATGTGTTGTAAAGCAAATCCTCTTTAATATCCAAACATCCATCCATTCGCTCCCACTTTTCCAATTCAGGGTCCCGGGAGGAGCTGGAGCCTATCCCAGCTGTCACAGGGCATGAGGCAGGGTACACACATATAGAGACAGACCGGTCACGCTCAGATTCATACCTACTATAAATTTATAATCACCAGTTAACTAATGTGTTTGGTCTGTGAGAGGAAGCTGGAGAGACATGGTGAAAACATGAAAACTCCAAGCAGGATCTCCTTGATGTGAGGTCACAGTGCTAGAGACCAACAGAGGTCAGCTAGAGGTCAACAGGAAGAGACCTCCAACAAAGCCATTATCAGGGAGGTCATCTACTGAAACTGGTTGGGGGG